AAGACTTACCTAAGAAAGTCAAATTATGTGTCAAATATACATACAATGTTGTTGAAAACAATGTATCTATTAGGCAAAGCAATAATCCAGTCACTTAAAAAGTAATAAGGTATACTGAAATTCCTCCTGTAAATGTGGATGATAAAAAACAAACAAACAAACAAACACACCCAGAAGCCTTTTGTTTTTAACTGTTTTACCCATTCCAAAGTCAACTAAACCCCCATCAAAAGGATTTGGCCAATCCAGGAACAACTGCTTCAGGTTGTCCTGCTCAGTGACTCATTTCTATGTTATATTCCTACTTGGGTACATAAAACTTCCTTGATTCCAAGTCAAGCCAGCTACATGTAACACTGAACTAAAAATGTTATAAGCAAAGAATATTCATAGCAGGATACCCATTTCATGGTGGTGTTAATCTTACCTGTATTCTTTCATTCAATCATTTATTTCACATCTACTTCCTAAACTCTGACTCCTAGGCCTGGTGACACATGGCACACACAGACCCACTCCTGCTCCTGCAGAGCTTCCATTCTAGGATGCTAGGGATGAGACAGTTGGCACATAATTTCCCAGCACAGGATGGGGACCAGCTGACATCAGAAATAGACCCAGATAATTTGATTGAAAGAAAATGTGGGTGGGGTAAAGGCTACTAAATTGCAAGATCAGGGAATGGCAGACAGAGAGTGTCAGCAGTAATACACCCAGAGTAGTGGGTGGTGGGGAGAATGGGAGATAAGCTCAGAGAAGCTGGCAATGTCCCAACCCTGCACAGCATTAGGCCATATGGACAGTTTAGAGTTTATCATAAGAACAATGGGAAGCTGTGTGTGTGTGTGTGTGTGTGTGTGTGTGTGTGTGTGTGTGTGTGTGTGGAGGGGGGAGGTGGTAAAAAAGAGGAGTGCTATTATCTAATTTTTTCAAAAGCTCACCCTGGAGGCTGAATTTTAGCAGTTAAAGGGGATAGGAGAAGAGCAATTAGGAGACTATTTTGGTGATCTTGGCAAGAGATGATGGTGGCAATGTAATGACGAGAAGTGGATTAACACAGGATATATTTGGGACTTACATCTGATAAAGCCTACTGATGGATTAGATGGGGTGGGAGGTGGACTAAAAGCAAGGTGAAACTCAGGGCAGTCTTGATACCATTGACTGAATTGGGGAAAGACTGTGGGGAAATATTTGGTGGGGAGTGAGGGACACTCGGAGTAAAGCAAGAATCCAGACGGGACCACAGTAGCCTTGAAATGTCTACTAAAATCCAAGGAACTATGTCAAGGAGGCAGATGAAAATAAAAATTTGGAGTTCCTTGGAGAGGTCAGGGTTGGATTTACAAATTTGATAGTCATCAGGTTATTGCTAAGAATCAAAGCTAGAAGACTGGATCTGGGTAGAGTATAGCTGGAGTCGAGTCCCTAAGACCCAGCCCTAGGACACCCACCAGTGAGAGTTTGAAAAGGGAAAGCCAGACAGTAAAGGAGACTGAGGCAGCACAAAGAGTTTGGAGGAAAACCATAGAATGTGGCATCCTGGAAACCACAGTCACAGAATGTTCACGAAAACAGTGCTCAACTCTGTCTAATGCTGTGAAGACATCAAATCAGATGAGGACAGAAACATGGCCATTAGATATGGTAAAAATGGAGACAGTGGTCACCATAAACAGAGAGAGTTTGATGAGTTCTGGGGTTGGAAATCTATTAGGAGTCATTGAGCCAAGAATAGGATGGGAAGATATTGAGATATTGCTTCTGGCTGCTGTGAAGGCTAGAGAAAAATGGGGTAGAATATGGAGAAGGATAAGAAGCCAAGGGAAATACCAGAGTAGATGTAATGTTAATGAGATTGATCCAATGAAAAAGGAGAAATTGATGATATAGAAGAAAACCATGTTTAACTGCAGGAGAAAGTCTTAGAACAAGTATGAGGGGAGGGTATCCAGGACACAAGTAGAGACATCATCAGAGTGTGAATTTACATGTAAGTAGGTGGGTAGATTTTGAGGTGCATGATGAGTGGTTATTTTGGTACTAGACAAAGAGCACATACATAATATGTGATATCAAAGCTAGTGTCATCAATTATATGGAGTAATAACTGTAACATTTATTACCATCTTAGAGAAGTTTAAGGCAGTGTAGAGAGGGATTTGAGGGTGTACCTTATATTGCTTTTGTCTGATTGTAAGTTGATTCATCAGTTCCCTCTCATTACATTCTTATCCACTGAAGATCTGTAGTATACCAGATTGGTCATTTTATAATGTTACCAGCCAGGGAGCCAAACTCAGTCATTCCTTGGCAAGTCCTACCATCTTGGTCTTCTCCAACATCCTCTAGAGCTCTAAGGCTGTACCCCACAGTACAATCAGCACCCATTCATTAGTATTTGTTTTCTGCTCATAGATCTTATTTTCTCAAATAGAGACAAGGATAGGGACAACTATTTCACAATAAAATATCATTGTCTCTCCCACTGTGAAAAAATGAGTGTTACACATAAAGTGAGCACTTAATAAATGCTTGTTGACCAATTTATCTTTTCAGAGTTGAATAGCTAATAAAAAGTCTCATGTAGCAATTCCTTGGCTAACAGTATATACATAATGCTTCTTGGCACCTGCTGAGTATTGCTGGGGGATGCTGAAATCATTCATCCATTTTCTTTTTTACAATGCTATTCAATTAGTTTGTCTGAGGCAAAGTCTAGAGTGTGTATCAATCAAAAGCATACTACTGAGCTAAGTACAAGCTTTGTACTAAGTTCACATCCACTTTCTTTGGGAAAAGGCTTTGGTCTAAAAAGTATTCAAGTGCAGGAAGTTTAGAGAGACTACAATATTGAGGACTGAGACTTACCCAGTACTACTTGTTTTCTGTAACATAATATGAATTTGAAATCAATTTGTTAATCTCCTTAGTGAAAAAATTACACTGTTGACAGATTAGTCCTCAATATAGCCTATTTTGCATTGTCTTAGAATGCAAAATTTTGCATTGTCTTAGAATGTCAAAATTTTCTTCAGTACAGACTGAAAGCGTAGCAGATTTTAAGTATATGGATTTTCAGCTTGTTGAATTATGTGAAGAAAACATTTAATTCCAAATTCAAGTCCTAATTCTTAAGCCAGTTACTGCTATTCAGATGTTTTTATATTTAAATCAGAATGCAAGTATTACACCATCAGACATTATTGACTTTAATTTTATCCAACAGGTTACCATGGAAAGTCAACAAATTAACAATCAGAGTAGCAATTTCCATAGGACCAGGACACTACATATAGCAGTCAATATAGCTCTAAGGACGGTAGTGATTACAGTTACTGTAAAATTTTGTCACTCTGTAAAACAAAGTATCGACTGATACAATGAACTATTTATTCTCTTTTTCTGTGTTATATGCAAACTGACAAAATAATACCCAATAAAATGAAATATATCAAGAGAATTATAACTTGAGACTATATGAAGACCTATATCAAAAATATCATGAATATTTCTTCATTTGGATCTCACAGTACTGGAAAATACTAATAGAATATATTAAATAATTTTTTTCATAAAATATTTTACTTAAATCATTGAATGAATTCATAAGATGCATGTGCATTTGAGATTTCCATTTTTCAAGGTTTACATGTAAATATCTGCTAACAGATTCACCAAGTCTATAGGCAAGAAACATAAACTTGTTTAACTTTATTCTAGGTTTCGATTTACTTTTCACTAACCTACATGGATTTTTATACTATTTTTACTCACACCATAAATTGGGTTCTAACTAGTGGTAAAATGGCACAGTTTACATTGTTGATTCAAAAAATAAATCTTGACAATTTAGAATTATTTTAAAATTAACCAGTAAACAGTGATCCATTAATTCTCTTTGTGGATTCTCGGTGGCATGAAGGCAAGACACATTAGTAAAGAATTTTTTTTAATCACTAGGAAAACAAATATATGAATCTGCCTCGGCTGGTTTGGCTTAGTGGTTAGAGCATCAGCCCTGGTACCAAAGGGTCATAGGTTTGATTCCCAGTCAAGGGCACATGCCTGGGTTGCAGGTTTGATCCCTGGCCTCGGTCAGGGTTGTTCAGGAGGCAACCAATAGGCGTGTCTCTCTGGTATCAATGTTTCTCTCTTTCTCTCCTCCTTCCACTCTCTCTCTCAAAAAAAAAACAATGGAAAAATATCTTCAGGTGAGGATCAACAACAAATATATATAGAGAGATATATATAAAAGGTCTGAGCTGGCAGGAGATGACATCTACAATGCAAGGCCAATGTAGAGCAAAACAATTTTATTACATGTGCCTGGGTGCAGGCGGGCTGAGCCTGAAAAGGGGTCAGCCTCAAATAATAGTTGGGGTGCAGGTTATATACTCTACTTCTAGCTTCCGGCAGTTCCTGTTGCCTGTACTCTGCATGGCCCATTGTCCACTTTGCAGTTGGACTGGTCTGGTATCACATCCTGCATCTGCTGGGTGATTCATTGTCTTGTGGATAATTCAATAATCCTTACTCAACAGAAGGCTGAGCAAAGGTCACGTAGACAATACATTTTTCACAGTTTCCGCCTTTTGCAAGCTTTACCTTTACCCTTTGAAACGTTACTAACTCTTTAATACACACACACATACCTATATATGAATCTTTCTCATAAAGTTTTTTTCTCTCACATGGAGGCAACACACCTTAAAATGGAGGTTAATAAGCAATTAATGGCACAGACTTAACTAAAATATTACAAATGTGACAGTATAATATCTTGGTAAATATGAGAATTTTGAGAGCCATAAAATTAAAGACTTTGATATGTGTGAGATCAATAGACATGACTTATCACTATTTAATGTGAGCTTTAATTTTTAAATGCCATGTTCCAATGAGAAGGTGTACTGCACAGGAAAATTGAAATTTCAATAAAGAATCAAGACAAAAGAAACAAAGTTTATATTAAAGTACCTTTAAGAGGTTATACTTACGCAGCAACCTCCTCTTTCGACAATCCTTTGAACTTCACCTCCAGATAATGATCTATGTCATCTTTTTCTTTGATCAGTTGAGCCCTAAATGAAATGGAAAGAAATAACAAAGCACTGCCTTATCAAGTAGAATACCTACCAAACATAAAATGCCACCAGGAGAACAGAAATATTCTGGGCATGATACCATATATAATAAACGTTCTACAATAGCTGTAGAGTAAGGTTATTGATTGATTATTTCTAAATTTTAATTTTCTTGAATGGAAAAAGACAGGGAAGAATATCAAACCCAGGGTGTAAACAAATAAAGCACCAAACATGTTAAAATAATCTGCATTTTTAAACAAATGGAGTTTTTTATTCAAAGCTTATAAGATCTTCCATTTTGCTTATGTTTCACAGTACAACCTTCCAATGACAGAAGTCATTCTGTTTGGCACATAATATTTAATCAAGAATAAGAATACCTATTGGATACAAACGTGTAAAATGTATTTGTCCTAGACATTAACAAATTTGTTCTGCAATGTTGCTTGAGTGTTTTGTTAATTCAGACATGAAACTCAAATAATTATTAAAAGTTCAAAGTGCAAAGTAATTGTAAGAAGGCTTCAGTGAGAAATATATTACATGTGTAGTGGTTTATTCTTCATACCCCACTGCATCTTTAAAAAAAGCATGTTATTATTATACCCTGAACAAACATCTGTTTTTATTCAGAAGTAATGGAGAATGTTGATATAAGACTTTGCCTTAAATGGTTATGATAAAAATGTTTTTATTCAATATAAATACAAGCAAAGTTTTTCTTTAAAAATTCATCTTATTTTAGAGATGTGAGGTTGGCTGTGTTTTTACTCACGTTATAAAAAAAATGTCATCTCAATAATTTAAAAAGATAGGGAGAATAATCTTTTTTCGACTTTGTTAACATTTCACATTGTTCAAAAGTAAAATATAGATACCATTATATCTACATATATATTTGTAACATAATGTATCAGTTATGTCTCAGTAAAAATACACATCCTGGAATTATGCATTTATAAATAATTTTTTTTTAAATTTTTTTGAAAAGAACATTTAATTACTATTATAAAAACTTTATGTAGTCTAGCTAAATGTATGTATTTTGTCCAGGGGTTTTGATCTTTCCCAGATATACTAGAAATATATAGAAATACTAAAAATGAGGTATGACTTTTTTTCAGAATAAAGTAGTCTCATAATACTTTGATTGTTACGCTTGGCAAGAATCGAAAAGTATGTATATTAAGAAAATAATCAGACCAAGACATGCAAGTTATACTGATAAATAATGTGTGCATTACTCAACATCAATGCAGTTATAAATGCAGTTACTAAACAGTGCAGTCTCAGTTAATATTCATCATTATGACAAAGTACATGCAGTTCTCTGTCCTGCAGCTTCGCAGCTACAACTCCAGGAGCTCTGGCTGTTCGCAGGCAGCAGCCTTAGACGGTGCGTTTGGAGGCCCCGGGGTCATTCCAGGAGCTAAATCAGGCCTGCCAATCTACCCTAGTTGTAAGACTATGTGTGTCTTCCTTCCTCCAAAATGAAATCCGCACTCAGGACCTTGTGGATTAGAAGCCAGACCCTGCTCATTCCTAAAGCTTCTTGCCTTCTGTTCTCCACATACATTTTTTTTTTAAGAATGTATCTCCAAAGCGCTATAGGAACAATGATATAAGTGGAATGAGAAATAAAATGACCAAATGAGCACTAGCTTTCTAAATAAATATATTCTTAATATTTAAATAAAGTCCATCGATTTTTTTAGAACCACAGATTTGAATACTCTGAATACAACAATATGCTTTTGTCTTTAAACATTTGCTATTGACATTTCTTACAGTAAGGAACTTATCCTGCAGGAAAAGAAGTGAAAACCAGGTCACGTACCTTGGAATTGTTTCAGGGCAGCACGGCAGCTTCTGTCTGGCTAGGGACGTAAGCTTTGGGCGTGTCATGGCCAGTGGGGGCAGGGTAGTCATTTTGGACTACAAAAACAAAAAACAACAACACAGAAATGGTATTTTACAGCATAAATCTTTCAAAGAATATTTTAAGACATCATTAGATCCACAGTCTGTCGTCTGAGCTGAGTGCTGTGTGCGTAGACCTACAGTTGTCTTATTCAGGAACGATACTCAGTGGGTGAATTCTACAGGTGGCTTCTCTCATTATTTTCTTCTACTAACTGCCTTGTGGCCAATTTATTACTTGTCTGCGTCTCTACCATGAAGGAGAAAATCTGATAAATGTGAAAATTCAGTCAATCAGGAGTGTTGGTATGGATTTTGTTAAGAGACATGATTACAATTAAAAAGTAAAGATTTTTAGAACAGCTACAGATTTCAAGTGTCCGTGCTTTGCTTTCCTGTTATAATGAATAATTTAAAATTGTTCAGCCCTGGCCAGTTTTGCTCAGTGGTTCGAGCATCAGCTTGCAGACCAGAGTCCTGAGTTCAGTTCCCATTAAGGGCATGTACCTCAGTTGCAGTTCGTCCCCTGCCCTGGTTGAGGTGGTGTGGGTGGCAAACACTCGATGTATCTCTCTCACATTGATGTTTCTCTCTCTCTGTTCCTCCCTCTCTCCCTCCTACTCTATCTGAAGATAGATGCAAAAATGTCCTTGGGTGAGGATAAAAAAACTAAAAATAAAATTGCTCATATTTTGCTGTTTTCTAAAAAGTTTTATCATTCACAAATAAAGGCTTTCCCTTAGCAGTAATAAATGCCAAGAATAATTCTCAACAAGGGGATGGCTGCCTTAAGAGACACTCAGCTGAAACAGTGTCAAAAATCACTTTGAGACGTAGTGGTTTAAAAAACAATAAGTAAAACAACAATCGTTTTATGATATTTCACATTTTTTGTGGGTCAGAAATTAGGATAGGGAACAATGGATTGGTTTTTCTCTACTCTACAACAGTGGGGGCCTGAGCTGGGAGAATTCAGAAGGTTGAGGGTAACTCAATAAGGGGGAGCAGGAAGCATCTGTGTCTTCACTCATATATCTGATAGTCAATGCTAATTTTTTTCCTTTATTGATTTTAAAGTGAGAGGGAGAGAGAGAGAGAAACATCGATGAGAGAGAACATCAACTGACTGCCTCCTGCATGTCCCCACTGGGGATCGGCCCCACAACTTGGGCATGTGCCCTGACTGGGAATTGAACTGGTGACCTCTTGGTGAATGGGTCAATGCTCAACCACTGAGTCACACCGGCTGGACATCAATGCTAATTATTAGCTGGGACCTCAACTGGGGTCTCTTCCAGAATACACACATGTATCCTCTCCATGTGGCTTGAACTTCCTCACAGCATGGCAGCCCTAGACTTACTTGGCAATTCGGGCTCCAAAGGCAAGTACCCCAAAGAAAAGCCAGGTGGAAGCTGTATCCCCTTTTATGGCCTGGCCTTGGAAACCATGTAGCATCACTTCTGCTATAATAATAGGCCTGTCCAGATTCAAAGCTAGTGAACATAGACCCACCTATTGATGAGAGAGCATCAAAGTCACATTGAAAGAAAGAATGTGAGATGGAAGAAATTGTTGGGGCCATCTTTGGGAAATGCAATGTGTCACAGTGGAGAAGAAAAGTGAGTAATAATAAAAGTGGGTCTATAGAATCAAGTTATCTAAAACTTACTCCAAAGAGGAAGCAGTGTGGAAATAATGCCAGTGGACATTTAATAAAGAAATTGTCCCATGTTGTGAGATCTTTCAGATGCAAGAGAACTCATCCTATTGTTGAATAGAGAGACATCCTAAAGGCCAGAGCCTCTTGACTCTACCAGCACTATGTCCATCAGTTCAAGTTCTACCCTCAGCCCCACCAAGCAACAGGAGGATTGTTTTGGTTTTAAATTACTTATCTCCAGCATTTACTACCTACCTGTGTGACCAAGGGTAAGTCACCATCAACCTGGACCTTGAACATATTCAACAAATTAAGCTACTACTTTGTGCCAGATACTGTTCTAGGTGCTGAAGACACAGGTGCGAACAAAAAGACAAAGATCTCTGACCTCACAAATTTACACTGTAGGGGTGGATGTGGGGGGAAATCAGACAACACACAAATGAACAAAATATATAGAAGATCTATAGAAAAAAAAAGAAAGCAAGGGACTAGAAAGTACCCAAATGCCCACCAGTACCAAAGGGATAAACAAGAGCACAAGGAGATGAAGTCAAAGACTTGAGGAGAAATTTTATATTCTGATGGGACGGGGTCTTGAAAGTTACTGTAAAAACTGACTTTCACTCTGATTGAGGTAAGAATCCACTGGAGGATTCTGAGCAGAGGATCTGACGTGATCTGACTTCCACCTTCTAAGATCACGATGGCTTCTCTTTATTTATTTTTTTATCCTCACCCAAGGACATTTTTCCATTTTTTGTTCAGATAGAGTGGGGAGGGAAAGAGAGGAAGAGAGAGAGAGAGAAACATCGATGTGAAAGGGACACATTGAGTGGCTGCCTCCCGCATGACCCAACCAGGGCCGGGGACAAAGTACCACCAAGGTATGTGCCCTTAGCAGGAACCAAACTCGGGTCTCTCTGGATTGCAGGCCGATGCTCTAACTGCTGAGCCAAACCGGCCAGGGCTCTCTTTTAAACTTAGACCATAGAGAGAAAGAAGGGCGGATGGCAGAGAGGCCAGCTGGGAGCTTGCAGTGAAATCTGGGTGAAAGAGGACGTTTGTTCAGGTAGAGTTGGAGGTAGAGACATAGTCAGACCTGAGGTAGAGCCACCTGTGAATGGCTGAGACAATATTCCAACATTCCTCTGTGCTACAAAGTCACAGCAGGGGTGGGGGTGGGGGGAGCAATAAGACGACAAAAATCTTTTGAAATTCAGTGTAGCAATAGGCAGTCTTGTGTTCTAAACGTAGATTACTACCCTGGCTTGAAAATAATTTTTCACATAACTAAAGAGAAAATTCTAATGCAGATCAGTTTCTAGTTTTAGATATAATACAATCCTCATATTTAAGAAAATGAATCCTAAAGTATCTAGATTATCAGGGCATGATATGATCCATGAAACATAATGTCCATCCATTTTTCTGTAGCTGTAGTTTTAAAGCACACGGTCTAAACAGATGTTAGTCCTCTTCTCTGAAACATTAGAAACCTACTGTATTATATACTTCGCAACTTCGTAATATAATGACTTAATTCTTCTGTAATTAAAAAAAAAACTATTTTGCTGATTAGATGTTATATTAATTAGTTGAGTTACTTGGGTAACCAGAACTTACTAAATGGCAACCTTTGTAGAACATGTGGGGACAAATTATGACCTACATAGGGTTGGACCTCATGTACAGCTTTGAAGGGACACCAAAGGATCCCCAAACCCACCTCCCACGATCCCATTTCAGAGAAACTGTGGAGACTCTGTGTTCGGAGTTTTCTAATGTTACAGAGTAAATCTGCACCGTATCAGTTCTTACCTGTGATGTGTCTATCCCTAGTGCACTTTGAAAGGGAGAGAAGAAAACAATGACTAATCTTACTTCAGTTGGGGCATTTCATCCTCTGTGAATTAAGATTATTCTGAGAGCCCCACTTTGCTTACCAAAGGCACTGGGGCAGTGGTGACGACTGCATAACTGTGCTTTAAAATGAGGAAACAGTACTTGTGATTTCTCTAAAAAACAGGAAGACAAGGCTACTTAGAAACAGTGGCCCCAGAAGCTCTGATCCAGCCAGTATATCCCATCAAGATGTGTATCGGCGCCCCTTCCCCAAGATGAGCTACCAGTATGTGATATAAAATGTATCCTTTTTCTGTTTACTTGGGTCAGATTGTTTTTGCTACAAAATATAAACATCTAATGAAATCAAATGCAAACGTTATACATGGAGAGGAATATGTCTTCTTTGTCACACAGATCAACTGTGATTTCTTTCCCCTCCAAACCTGAGTCAACGTTTCCTACCATTAAAGTTTCAGCTGCCAGCTCCTTCGTTTTGCTCTCCTCTGATCTGAGCACATGAGCAGCAGGAGCACCTTTACTCTTAAATTTAGTTTAATGTAGGGATTGCAAGCCCTGCTGGCAAGCCTTAAGGCACAAACTCTGAATGGGGGGTGATCAGAGCCTAATGATAAAGTAGAAAAAGTTATTAACTGCATATTGGGAAAAATATCCCTCAAGCAAACTCTATCGGAAAGTTTAAGGTCAGAGTGAGGGTGGAAGTTACCAGGCTCCCTCCTCACTCTAAACCCCACACCCTGTCTTCCCCATGCCTGTTGGAAAAGGGAATTTTGTTTTTCAAAATACATGCCCACATAAGGGTATTTCATTTTCCATAAGAGATAAAGTGTGCACTGAAATTTTGCACCCTTGATATTTGAAATGCATCAATTATTTTTATAAGTTCAGTCTTATTTATGCTGAATTAGAAAATAGTTATATTCTAGCATATAGAAAGAGTCAAAGAGAAAATAACTGAGAGAAAAAAAAAATGCAAGCATCTTTGGGGCCTGTTATTTCAGGCTTAAATTATACCTGTAGAGTGAAAAAAGCCTTTTGCTGTTTGTTAAATTGAGCTGTATCGTTTCCGCAGTGTTGGCCAGTATTGTGATCTCTAACCAGGAGGAATGAAATAACTGAGGCCTGAAGCAGAAATGGAACACACCCTTAACAGTGGCACTTCATCAGGGTTCTCCTGGCTCAAGACCACAGAGGAAATCACACAAGACAGGAGCAAGGCAGGGAGGGCAATTGTTCAGTTACAGGTGAGTAAAGGAGAAGGAGGAGGAGAGGCATTTCTATAGCTGGTACCAAAATGAGCTTAGCCCCAGGAGCTGAGGGTGAAGCACTCTGTTAGGAGGACCCAGAGGCAGCTCCCCCAGTGCCAGCAAGTGGGCGGGGCTGCATGTGGCACCAAGGGGGGCTGAGACAAAGATCAAAAGGCTGCCTGAAGCCATTCCACTGTTGGTATTCAGAAGAGATTTCGGGGATTCTTTGATCTGCTGGTTGGCTCTTGTATCAGTTGTATTTAGTCTCTAAATTTGGCCCCCACATGCAAAGACAAATGAGAAAGGAGAAATACAGGATGAAAGGTTTGAGTGCTGGGTCAGACTGAATGTGTCCCACGGTGTGAGTTTAAATCTCTGGCCCCCAAGTAAAATTCTTCAAAGAATAACCCTCTTGCCCACTATCCCAGGAGACAGCCTCATCAGGAAACACAAAGGAAGGAGAGGGATCCTACTTGGGAGTGACTATATCTGAGGCCGACCACTGTCTCCAGAATTCAGTCACTTTGGGGTAAAAGCTGAGATATAAGAAATAAAGCCAATAAACCACAACAAGCAAATTTATGATGTGTCATCAAGAGAATTCAAAATAAATGATTTTATTAAGAAGAAAACCATTTACAAGAATTAGAACTTTTCATACTATCACCACAAGCTCTCTTACTATGAAAGTCTAAAGAAAACTACGGAAGAAATATAAACAATTATGTTCCTGAAAAAGAATTTTTAAAATTCACATAAAGAAGTTTAAGGAGTCACTAAATGTTTATCCCCTGCATCATAATTTTTGGAAACTTCTAGCACTCCATGGTAGGTAATTAGATAAGTTGTTGAATAATATAAATAGGTTTCCTATCAACGGACATTTATTGATGGTTAAATCAAAACATAAATCAATGAAAGTGTTTGAAGACAGGCCATGGTTCACTTGACTTACATTTGGAGATCACTGCTGAAGGTCTTTCCCGGCTTACAGACTTCAGACTGAAAACCAGGAAGTAAAGAATAATAGCAAAGGAGAGAAGAAAAAGTTTAAAATTAGTCAATAGAATAACTTCTCTCCCTGCCCCATATCCTTGAATAAGAATTATTCATACAACAAATACCAAATACCTACTATGTATCTAGGAACTTAAAAAAAAAAAAAAGTATAGACACGATGGGAGACGTTAATTACAAATTCAAGGAAACATCAGTACGTACAGGTATTGATATGATACAGGGTGGGCCAAAAGTTGATTTACAGTTGTTCGTATGGAAACTAATTAATAAATAACCATACAAGAATAAACTCTATGTTTGCGTACCCACAACAACTTTTGCCCCACCCTCTATTCCAATACAAAAGTGACCTTGGGGATAACAATTTGATCTCTCAAACTTGTGAGTCACCTTTACCCAAACCCAGGGCATCTCGGTTCCCTTTCTGCTCCTGCCTAGTTCTAATCAGGCCTAATCATTTACTCCGACGTCTTTTGGCTTGTCCTCGGCCCTCACTGGGTCAGGTGAGCTGGGGGCGAGGGCCTCAGCTGAGGACGCTTGAGGCGCGTTTCCAGACCCACGAGGAAGGTCTGTGCGGGTCAGGGAGGCACTGCCTGGAAGGACAACCCGCCTCTGCTGGGAACCGTGCAAGTCCTGCCCGAGCCTCGTCCCTGCGTCACGAACCTCGGTGGACTGGCCCTGAGGAACAACTCTGGTTTTCCGTTCCCCCGAAGTCAGTCCCCCACGGGCGGCAGGTGCTGGGCGCCGGCGCTGCCCCCACTTCCCGCGGTAGCTGTAAGACGCTGGGGGCAGACGCGGGGGCGTCTCCAGAGAAACAGAAGCGACGGGGTGGGGGCGGGGTTAGACTGGACCGGGGCTCGGGATTGGGGCAGCTCCCAGACTCTCGGGCACGGGGGCGGGGCCTGCTGGGGGCGGGGCCTATTGAGGAGCGGGGCCTCTAGACTGAGCAGGCTCTTCCAACAAGGCAGCTTTGAAAAGTAAGACCAGTCTCAGAAATTAGTTCACCTAAGCCAAGGACCTGAACTGTGCCGCCCTAAAACATCTCCTTCATGGCACGTCATTCCGGATATTTCGCCAACATTTCTCTGTTGTCCATAGGACTGATGGAAAAACACTCAGTTTGGCATTCCTGACCCCTGTGACCTGATGTCACTTTATCCAGCTAGTTAAGTCATTCATTCCCCTCCTCCTCAACCTCAGCTGCTGGCAGAACCATCTTTTCTTTCTCTCTCCAGAAAGAACATCTAATTTTGAGTTGTGGTGAGTTAAAAACTCAAGTTCTCCTTATAGAATCTCCCTGTGTCGTGTGTGTAACTCTTTACCAGAAACTCGGGATTTTATATTTATACTGATTAATGGCTGTCTGTTTATCTCAGCCCATCATGCCATCCCATCTCTCATTTGTAAGTGGAAGGAAGCTCTCTTACTTGCTCATTCTCTCAGACATGCAGAGGACAAGAGGGTGAGGCCTGTTGCTTATTTTCAAATACAGCTGTGCTGGAAAGTGAGGCTCTTATTCATTGCCTACTGTTACACACTTGCTTATACAAACCATTCTATTAATCATGAATCAATTCCATTTGGAATACATATATATATACCTCCACTCATCCATTGATGGGCACTTTGGCTATATACCCAGGAGTGAGAATGCTAGTCAAGTGGTAGTTCTATTTTTAACTTTCCACAGTGACTATACCAATTTACATTCTCACCAACAGTGTACAAGGGTTTCCATTTCACCAAAGGGTCTTTTATACACCACTGTTCACATCGCCAAAACCAGGCTACGTAACTAGGTAAAACAGATGCAGATTATCAATCTATTTATTTTTAATAAATAAGGTAGACAGGTAGTACAGAGTGAATTAAGGGGAGCTTTAAACTTTAAATAGCACATTATATATTACTAGCTAGTGCATTCCACTCCTGTCTTGGCCCAAGGAGAGCATGATGGTTCCAGGCAGAATACCATGCTGGATCACTGCACCGATAGGCAGTCTAATAGGAAATGGAGAGCAAGAACTAGCAGGTACCCTCCATGTCTCGATAATATAAATATTTACCAAAAGGAACAATATATAGCTTATGAAAATATAGAAGTCTTTCAGTAAGGTTCAGTAAGGTTTTGGGGTGACTTAGACGGATAGATACTCCAATGTAAAAGATAATTTATTGAAATTTGCACATTCAACCAAAATGTTATATGTATATCTTTGGATTTTGGAGGCTGATCTGAGCTACAACCTCTGATCTCCTCGGAAGCTGTGTCCTGCCCTGAGCTAATAGAGGCAGTTCTTGGTTTCCAGGCCCAGGATGTGCCCTGAAATCAGCCCTTCCCGAGTCCAGTGCGTAGCTTTACAATGGTTCTGTAGGCTTCTGATATCATTCCAATAAATTAATTTTTCTAAAGTTAGTCAGAGATGACTTTTATTACTACAAGTACAGAACACTAATTTACACAACATTTAAGAAAGTATTAGGTGATACAAAATGAGATAATAAAGTTTGTTTAAAAAAGCACAAATCAGTAGACATTAAAGATAATATCAGTTTTTCACTGAACATTTTAGAACATTATACATTTTCTAAAATAGCTGAAACTAAAGTTCAATTAAGAAATTGTATTAAAGAGTATATATAATTACATTTATTTTCTATTGCTACAGAGAGACTTGATAAAATTCATTTTAAAAATTGAGGCCAGTGGCAACCACTTGATATGTCCCTTTCACGTCGATGTTTCTCTTTCTCTCCCTCCCTCCCACTCTATCTGAACAAAATATCAAAAAATGTCCTCGAGTGAGGATAAAAAAATAAATTTAATAAAATTGAGGCCAGCCCTGGCTGGTTTGGCACAGTGGTTAGAGCGTCCGCCCACAGACCAGAGAGACCCAGGTTCAGTTCCTGCTGAGGGCACATACCTCGGTTGCAGTTTGTCCTCGCCCCTGGTTGGGGTTGTGTAGGTGGCAACCAGTAGATGTGTCTCTCTCACATCGATATTTCTCTCTCTCTTCCTCCCTCTCTCCCTCTCACTCTATCTGAAGATGACTGCAAATGTCCACAGGTAAGGATAAAAAAAAATTGAGGCCAGCCCTGACCATTTGGGCTCCGCAGTTAAAGCCTAGGCCCACGGACCAAAAGTCATGGGTTTCATTCTGGTCAAGGGCACATACCTCAGTTGCAGTACAGTCCCTGCCCTGGTTGGAGTCATGCGGGAAGCAGCCAATTAAAGTGTCTCTCTCATATCAGTGTTTCTCTCTCTCTCTCTCTCTCCCTCCCTCCCTCCCACTGTATCTGAAGATAAATGGAAAAATATCCTCAGGTGAGGATTTAAAAAAAACTGAGGCCCAAATAGGCTATGTCAAATGATGATATGTTTTGACCTTGCTGAAAATATAAAATATTTTTGAGGTTTAAATATTTTCCATTTGTGGAATAAATCAGGTGGAGAAATCTAGTCAATATTTATTGATCTTACATAAACAGTGTGTACTGCACTTAATATTCTAAGGTAAAACAAAAAGCCATTTGCTTATTGATGCTTGCAAGTAATAATTTTTATACTTAATTTAGAGTCAAAAGCCTTTTATAGATTTTACCAATATGCATAACACCTGTAATTGTCATAAGTGTTTTGCAGTTAAAAGAAACTAGAAAACTAGCTTTTAGGATTTAATCAAATAGAACCAGCCAATAGTTTGCAAAGCACACATTCTCAAATTGTCCTTTTGTTTGGAAAGATTTTGTAAAATGAAAGGGGTGTGGAAAAGGACAAGCAGACATGGTACTTAAGAAAGAGCACATTTGAAAGTTGAGGGCCTAGGAGAAAAAATTTCCTTAAAATTATCAAATTCTAAAAAGCCTGGAGTGCTTCAGGACCTACCTTAAAAACCTAAGTTACATTGTTTGATATCTCATATATATTTCCTTGGTTTCAAATCTAGTTTTACTTATTTTCTCCTTTAATGTGTATAAATCACATTGATTTTCAATCCAAAGTATGCAAGGAACCAACTTTCATAATTCGTCTTATAAACATCAACTGGTATTAAAATATATTTGCCCCCATTTTCTTTTAGCATCTTCTTACTTTTGGTTCTTTGTGATGCAATTTTAGCAGACTGCTAAATCTGTTCATTTTTTAAAGTGCCATTTGAATGTGAAAATATGCTTTATTTTTAATTACTCTTTATTTTGTGCCTCCATACACTGGATAAATCTACAATAACAATGTTTTCTACAAGTGGAGGCAAATCTTCACAAAATAATATGCTTCAAAAGTTGTTAAATCTTTTGAAACCTTAATTATGTCTGTACATAATAATAAACATATGCATGTATATACATCTATCCAGCTAGTTATATGTATACAAATATCATATATATACATATATGTATTGAGAGGCATATTAGTATTTTTTCAATGTAATTAAGAAATAAAGTTTCCCATTTTCCAAGGACAAAATCTAATGGTATATATGCAAGGGGAATTCTAAATCCATGAACAAAAATATAGAATATAATGATATTTACAAGGACTGTCATAAATAAGATGACAAATAATCACATTTGCTAGAATTGTACTATAACTTCCAGTACAGTCTCTCTTGGTTTCAACATATTAAATATAGGTATAAATAAAAGCTGAATTAGACATAACAGGGGAAAATATGGAGTAGCAGTCCTAAGCACCGAATTTGAAAGTCTAAATCAATTCATCCATCCATCCATCTATCCATCCATCTATCCATCCATCAATTTCAATAGCCAGGTAGTCTGCTAGGGTAGGAATATAAAGATAAGTCATGTCCCCAGTGAACTCACTGATATAAAGACAGACATGCTAAACATGTCTGTCTAAACAAAGAGACAACTGTTTATTTGCTTTCAAGCGTTGTGACCTATCTCCACCAGCACCAGAGAGAACTAGACTGAAGTCCTTGTCTTCTTAATGGCTTAGGTCCCAGACCACCACCACAGCCCTCTCCCATCCTAAGCCCCAATCTGTTCTTAATCCTCTCCGCTCCAGACTCAAACTCACAACTCAGAGCTGACTCTTTCTCCTCTGGTATTGACCTCAGGCTTCCCAGATGTTCAAACCCCATTAGATACTTTCCCCAGCCAGTTTGTAAAACCAGCTATTCCAAAAGAACCTGGTACAGTCCTGAGGACCGCCACAGTACCATGTGACAGTGCTATAAAGGTGACATCAGTCTGAGTGCCTTGGGGAGGGACCTCAAAGCTACCCAGGACTAAGTGAAAGTTTGGCAGTCACAAGACTTCACAGAGAAGATAGTGCCTAAAATGTGATTTTTGTCTCTTGAAAAATGTATAGGAGTGTGCCAGTTGTACTAAGAGCAATAGAATGACAGAGAACCATGGCTTGCTGGATACACATGAATTCTAGAATACAGGGGCAGAGATCTGTGGAAGATGGGCCCAGCCCCAAAGCAAATTAGCGATATAAAATTTTGAGCTCCAATAATGACAATAAAAAATTGAACATTTTAATTTAGTATATTCATGATTATAATGGGAATAGATGTTGATTTTATAGTATTAGTTATAGTCAGAACATGAAAGAATTATGAATGACCCTCAAAAAGATTGAAAGCAAGTCATGATTTGAAAATAAAATTAAAAAACCATCAGTCCTACATGGGTGAAATTGGTTACTTACAAGAACATTCTACAAAGAACCTTAGTCTATCTGACTCCAAAGCTTTTCTCCTAAATCATTCTTTTAATTAACTCTCTTTC